TGTCTAGATCAAGAGAAGTAATAGTGCCACTCTATTTTGCTTTGGTCACCTGGAATATTGTGTCCAGTTCTGGGCCCCACAATTCAAAAAGAGTGTGTCCAAAGGAGGGCAACTAAAATGGTGAAGGGTCTGGAAACCAAGCCCTGTGAGGAATGACTTAGGGATCTGGGAATGTTTAGCCTGGAGAAGAGAAGGTTAAGAGGTGATATGATAGCCTTGTTTAAATATTTGAAGGGAGGTCATATTGAGGAGGGAACAAGCTTGTTTTCTGCTGCTCCAGAGACTAGGACCTGGAACAATGGGTGCAAGCTCCAGGAAAAGAGATTCCACCTCAACATTAGGAGGAACTTCCTGACAGTAAGGGCGGTTCGACAGTGGAACACACTCCCTTGGAGAGTTGTTGAGTCTCCTTCCTTGGAGGTCTTTAAGCAGAGGCTGGATGGCCATCTGTCAAGGATGCTTTACTTGGGAGTTCCTGCATGGCAGGGGGTTGGACTGGATGGCCCTTGTGGTCTCTTCCAACTCTATAATTCTATGATTCTATGAAATGGGCATGATTACCCACCCCTATTTCTACTGATAGTCCTTTGCTATTTGTTAGCTAATCTGGATTCTGTCTGGGACTCGAGTATCCCCTTCTGGACACCTAGGTGTCCAGTTTATGATGGTGGTTATGGGCCCAGAGATTGATGGATCAAAACCATTTTCTGCTACCATACTTAACCCTTAGTGTAAAGAGATAGGGTGGGGAACTGCATCTGTTTCCGTACTACATTAATTCTTCTGTCAGGTTTCTATAGAAGTTAGTAACATGTTTTCCAGTTCCTTGACATGAACATCTATCTATTCAGCTTACAGAAACTGACATAAGTGACTACTTCCATTCCCTTCTAAGCAGCAAATAAATACTTCCCTTGGGGCTGCCATCAATACTGTCTTGATTCCTTTGTTAGTTAGTGCTAGTGATGTATGTCATTTCAGTCACAGAGTCTGGATTTTGAGTGACTGGTTCCCAGCTCAGTATTTAAGTCCAGTTGGTTTTGTTAAATGTTTTTATCTGTACAAAGGCCAGATTTACAGTGCGCAT